GATTCGGCGGAGGAATTACAACCACAAATCTTGAGTGGCAAGAAGGCTGAGACTGTTACAGCAAGCAAAGAGCCATCCATTTACCAGTGTCCCAGCCGTCTGCCTCTTCTCTACCATCTGCAGTTGCTTCCAGCGAGACAGAGGGATGATATAGGTCAAGATAGCCAGAGAGGGAGGCTGCTAACTCTCGCGCTCTCTGAGAGGCTGTACACAGCGTCTCACTGAAATTTGAAACAACGTGAGAAAGAAGCACCATTACTCCCCCCACCCTGGTGCAAATGTGGAAGGCGAGGCTCAGGCTGACCCCTCACCCCCACCCCCAGAGCACCCCCTGAAGCCTGGGCCACCAGCCCATCCACACATACAAAGAAGTGCAATTCTGGACCAGCTGTCGAAGCAGGAGCGCCCTGAGTACCACCCAGGGGCACGGGCACCTCTTAGACCTTGGGGATGCCCTGCCTGTCAGAGCCCAGCGTCTGTAGGTGACGCAGAAAGTCACTCGCTCTCAGTCTGTTTCATGGGCTGTATGTATGCATAGACACAACAGGCTTTGCTTCCACTGAAATGCACCTCCTGACGACTTTTGCTTGGAATGCCTGTAAAGAACATTGACTCCACTTCTGCTGATTAAATATTTTTTCAGACCATTCAGTTCTCCCCAACTGTTTCTTTCCCAAGGTGAAAAATTTCAGAGTTTGTCCCTCTCCACAAATAGGCAGAGACCAAGCCAGACAGGCAGAAAGGCGTCTTCATAGAGACTCGTATGTTCCCTGAAGATCGTAAACCAGGGCAGGAGAGAAGGGTGCAGCTGGGTTTGGAAAGGGAGGCTGAGCTACAGGCTGTTTCAGTGTTTGTGACTAAATTTTCTTTCAACGTTGGGAGTTTGTGAAACTGAGCTTTTAAACAAGATTCACCATGTAAAGAGAGTATGTTTCACTGTAGATAGTTTAGGAACAATAGAGAAATAGAAAGAAGAAAAGGTCATATAGCACGTGCATGCCCCACCCCCCCCCCCACACACACACACACATCTGAAGGTGGCTGCTCTTACCATTTTGGTGTAAATTTCTTTGATTTTCCAGCCACTTTATAGGCACTACTACTACTACTGGGGGTTGGGTTGTTCTTTTGGGATAGACTCTGATCTGAGCACTCCCCACATATTAGTTCATTTGCAGCAGGTACTATTATTCTCATTTTACAGAAAGTGAAAATGAGGCCCAGAGTGGGGTAGGTCTGCCCAAGTTCCTTTAGCAGGTATGCAGCAGGCCCAGGTGGGGACTCGGGCGGTCTGACCTTCAAGCCCATGGTCTCTGCCGCTGCTGTGAAGTCGTCTTCACATATACTTTGCCCCCAGTTTTATTGACATATAGCCTGGTGTGCATTTCAGACATACAACACAGTGATTTGATATGTGCTTATTTTGCAATGTGATGACCACATAAGTTCAGTTCTCATCCACCACCTCACATAGCTCCACCCTTTTTCTTGTCATGAGAAGTCTTCAGATCTACTCTCTGAGGAGTTTCCAAGTATGCTGTGCAGCATCTTTAACTATGGTCATCAGGCTGTACATTAGATCGCCCCTGCCGGGACTTATCCATCTCATAACTGGAGCTTGTGCCTTTGTCCACCTTCACCCGCTTCCCCACCACCTCCCCGTTTTCTGCAGCCCACATTTTGCTATGAGGAATCTAAAAATTCACTGAAGGTTTGGAAATAACAGGAGAGAGTTCAGAGAGCCAGCAGAAAATCTTCAAGGCAGCTCCTACACTGGCCCAACATCCAGCCTACCCTTCCTGTGACGGGCTTTTCTCTCCCAAGGCTGGACCCAGAGCTGCCGAGACCCCAGACAGGAGAGACTTCCCCAAAGGGGTCATAGTGTGCAACCCCTGACCCAGAAACACAGCTCCTCCCACTGAAGTGTGTCGCCACTGGGCTCAGCTTCTCCAAGGCCAACACTCCCTGTTCCAAGAGGCCCTGGGAAAGGCTCCTCCGCAGAAGAGGCAGTAACCTTGGGCCCAGATTGCATCCTGCAGCTGAAAATCAAACTGCTTGTTCCTCCAAATGTGGCAGCTCTCCCAGAGCTCAGCACGTACCTGGGCTCCACCAGAGCACCCCCAGGGCCCACCAGATAGGACTCTGGAACACTGCGCTCCATTGCTTCACTCATCTGTATATCAAGAGCGCATTGTGCCTAGAGGTGTACCTCCAGGTTTTTAATGGCTATGCTGGATCCCACCACACGGATGTAGCAACATTTACCAAAGCAAGTCCCCAGGAAGTTTGGATTATTTCCAGAGTTGGTGACTCTGTTCTTGAAGCTACAATAAACAATCATGTAGCCAAAACTCAGCACACTCCTTACCACCTTAGATCTATTTCTGCAAGTGGAATTACAGGTCAAGTGAGACACATGGTTTTAAAGTTTTTGACTGAAACTCCCAAGTTCTCCCTGTAGAAATGCCCGAGTTATTCTCCACCAGTCCTTGTGAGAATAAATGACATAACTTTTAAGAAACTACAGGCTAGCACTGAAAAGAGTGGGCTTCTCTGGTTGACTCCGTGGTAAGGAATCCGCTTGCTAATACAGGAGACCCGGGTTTGATCCCTGGGTCCAGGAGATCCCTTGGAGAAGGAAATCGCAACCCACTGCAGTATTCTTGCCTTGGAAATCCCATGGACAGAGGAGCCTGGAGGCTTCAGTCCTTGGGATTGCAAAGAGCTGGACACTGAGGGACTAAGACAACAACTGAAGGGTACTACAGAGTGAGCAGAACTGAACCTGCCTGGGATAAAAAGTTGCCTTGTTGTCCACCAGATGGTGCTGTTAGCTAAGGTTTTTGCATCCTGCATGCCAAGTCTTCTGTCTCCTGCGTTGGCAGGTGAGTTCTTTACCACCAGCTAAAGTTCTAGATTTCCAGTAAGGGAAGTCTGAGGTACACACACACACACACATATAGACAAATCAAGTTTACCTTTGGAAATCTAGTAAGTCTCATATGAAAACCAGGTAGAAACTGACAATGGTGGCACAGCTGCCATGAGATGGTGGAAACACCACTGGAGGTTGTCACCATCCAGCTATTAAGTCTTCTGCGGTTTCCCAGGAGCCCCCACGGGAGACACCGACAGTCCACGTGCATATCCCGTCCCTCCCGTCTCCCTTGTTAATTCACACTCAAGGTAAGCTGTAGTGGAGTGGCCTGGTTCCTTCCACCTGGCTCTCTGGCCCCTTAGAGCCCTGGGCTTATCATAGTTGTTAATTTTACACTCTGATGTGCAATTATTGATTGCCTGTCTATGTCTGGAGGAGGTGCTCCAGGAGGTGTCTGCTCTGGGGGGACAGGGTGGAGGAGCTCGGGACCTCTCCTTAGAGCATTGCCAAATAACTGCCATCCCCGTGAAACAAGTTTAGTGATAAATAAACCACAAGAAGAGAGGTGACAGAATGAGCACCGTGTAGGTTCAGGGCACTGGTCAGACAAGTCCCATTGTTCTGCTGAGACTGCTTCCTCATCTACAGTAACATCGGTAGCTCCTCTATTAAACAAGACTTTGTACACCGAGGACTCACGCCTGATAAAGGCTTGGAAAGTTTGCTTAGCTTTGGTTGTCTGGTCTTTGCCAAGCAGCACCCTCTAAAAGGACAGTGGGAAGAACAAGAGCTGAGAGGTTATTCCTGATTCCACCAAGTCACTGACTTAGACATCTTGCAAGCTAATATTTGTGCTGTGTGATCTTCCAGCTGCCAAGGCTTGTGGAAGTGTTTGGTCGGAATACTGCAGATGAAGGGCTTGCTTGTTGTGGACAGCGGGTGAGAGGGGACGTTAATTTGGTGGGGGGGGTGTGGAAGGTCCCAATAATATGCCTTGGTTAATCCCTGAGATGGGATTCTAAATTCTCTGTGCACATGTCAATTTCATCAGCAAGCATGTCTGACTCTTTCCTGCTTGCAGGCCTGCGGTGACTGGTCATCTTGCATTTTCTTCTGACTCTGAGCACTGGTTACCTGCTGCCCCTCCGACCCAGGTGCCTCTGGAGTCCTTCAAGGCTAAGGCCCTTTCACCCTGCGGACTGGTCTCCTTCAGGAAACCCTCATTTTGTTAATGTAACCAAGCTTTCTGCAGAGTCCGCTTTTCCCAGATTCTATGTCGCTGCTCCTCCAAGCCATGAGCCCTTGAACGCTGCTTATTGGCAAAGCGGTTCCCCCTGAGACAGAATGAGAATTTCCGAGCCCGGGAATGAATGAGCTCAGAAAGGGCCTCAGCGCTCCCCTCTTCTCAGAGATCGTGCTCCCTCAGCCCTGGGATTTGGGGCCCCAGACCCAGCCTGGATCTCGAGAACTCGCCACCCCTCCCCCCCACTCCCCAGAGGCGGCTCTGACTTCTTAATATACTCCCCAAGTCCCCGGGATGAGCGGACCAAGCGGGGTCCTACCACCTCGGGCCTTGGGCGCCCTCCAGGGCAGCAGGTATTGCCTCCTCTGACTGAGCCCCCAAGGCGCCCCAAATCCCACCCATCCTCTGCGGTGGTCCTACAGAGGTCGTCGGCCCCGTAGTAACCCACCTGCTTCCGCTCGAGCAGCGGGGGTCCCCAGTGCACGCAGGAGGGGGGCGGGGATGACCAGGGGGCTAGTGAGCGGGGCGAGGAGCCCAGCGCTCCGCGCCCGAGCGGCGGATCCGGGATTCCTGGGACCACTAGGGGCCAGGACCGCCAGCCATGCAGGTCACCGCGTGCTTCGCGTGAGCTGGATGGGGGCGTCCAATGCTTCTCAACGGCTGCCTGGAGCAACCCCCCGGGGGAAGGCGCGTTAACGACGGCGGGCGGGCCGGGGGCGGGGCCTTCCCGATGGGCGGGGCCAACGCCCGGATATAAATGGCAGAGGTTTCTTGGCTGACGCAGCGACCACGCTGGGAGAGCCGGTCTTCTCCGGTGGGCGGCGCGCGCCCGGTGTCCGGACTTTGCCGGCCCTACCCGGCCCGGCCCTGCGCGGCAGCATGGCCGGCTCAGGCCCCAAGCGGCGCGCAGCGGCGGCCACCCTCCCGGCGAACGAGGAGGAGGAACGGCAGGCGCGGGAGCGGATGCTGGCGGCGCGGGGCGCGGACGGCGCGGAGGGCGAGGTGACCCTGCAGCGCAACATCACGCTGCTGAACGGCGTGGCCATCATCGTGGGCACCATCATCGGCTCGGGCATCTTCGTGACGCCCACCGGAGTGCTCAAAGAGGCGGGCTCGCCCGGGCTGGCGCTGGTGGTTTGGGCCGTATGTGGCGTGTTCTCCATCGTGGGCGCGCTCTGCTACGCCGAACTGGGGACCACCATCACCAAGTCGGGCGGCGACTACGCCTACATGCTGGAGGTGTACGGCTCGCTGCCCGCCTTCCTCAAGCTGTGGATCGAGCTGCTCATCATCCGGCCCTCCTCGCAGTACATCGTGGCGCTCGTCTTCGCCACCTACCTGCTCAAGCCGGTCTTCCCCACCTGCCCTGTCCCCGAAGAGGCCGCCAAGCTCGTGGCCTGCCTCTGCGTGCGTGAGTACTGAGTATCGGGCCCCGGGACACCGGCGGGCGCGGGGCGGGGTGGGGGGTGGGGGTCGGAGTTGGGGATGTGTGCCGAGCCGTGGTCGCCGCATTCTGGGCCTTCCCCGCACTCCTGGACCATCCCTACAGCCCGCGCCTCCCGCCCCCCGCCCCGGTCCGACCCCGCAGTTCTAGACTGAGGGCAATGGCCCCAGTACCACGTGCGTTTCATTCATTCACTTCCACACCACCTAGGGAACTCCGCCCTGAGTCACACAGCAGGGTCCCCGCCCTGAGCCTGTGGCCGGTAGCGCCTTCTCACTTGGTCCATTTGGAGCCTGTTGAGCTGACCCTTACTTACTTCCTCAGAGGCACCCACGTGGAGTTCCTGAGAAGCCTGTCTGTTTTTTGTGTCCTTTGACTTCCCCAAGCCTTACTGTTTGTGGAGAGAGAGCCTAGTTTAAAAAAAAAAATCAACAAACGTCATTCAGACGTGCTCAGTCAGGAAAGGCTGACTCATACAAAACCAATAATAGTAAAATCGTGCGGCAGCAGTGAATGAGTTGCTCTTTTAGACAATGGAGGGTTGCATCCTCTAGCCAGTCTTAAAAGAGGGGTGCTTACCTGCAGCTTAAGTGTGTGCAGGGTGGGCTGTGGCTTTGGGATCCCCAGCTGTGCTGAAATACAGCCTCTGAGCACAGCCCAAATGTTGGTGGAGGAGGTCCCAGGATGTTGGTGGAGGAAGTCCTGGTATGTTGGTGGGCTGCTTTCTGGTGGTATTTCAGGAAAAAAATTTTTGTACTGAAAGCCACACGTTTGTCTGTGTCTATGGCTGCAAACGTCTCGGCAGACGTGCAGGGTGGAAGTGTCCGGCCACCTGATTGGAGGCTCTGCCTAAACCTTGAGGTGCACAGAGGTGTGGGGCCAGCAGGGCTGGTTTCCCTCCAAGCCCCGAGACTCAGGGAGTCGTGCCATCGCTTGGAGTGGCTTTTGACCAGCAGTACGCACTGGCGCTGTTGGAATTCTGGAACCTGGGCACCAGCTCAGTGTGTGTGTGTTGTGAGGGGGGCTTTCAGAGGCATATTCTGGGAAGTGGTGTCCCTGGGGAAACCTGAGACACCCCCCCCCCCCCCGCCACAGAGCGGCCGTGCCGGGGGGAAGGGGACCTCTTGCCTTTGAGGGGAATCTCAGCAATGAACATCTCAGCTTATAAAAACCTTTGGCCCAAATCTAGGAACAGTCACAGTGATGGTTGACATGCCTGAGGGAGGGGGAACCTGTGGCTTCCAGTGGGCTTCTCAGATGATGCTTTGGGCCGAGTGAGAAAAAGCCCCTCTTTGTTGACTTTCTGTCAGTAGAATTTTCATTGTCCGATTTTCATTGTTGCTAGGTCTTGTTTAATGTTTGGGCCCAGGATGTGATGGCATAACACTGCCTTAAAGCACCCCTCTGTGATCTTGGAAAGTGGATCCCTCACTTTCTCAACCTTTTGGGTTTAAGCAGGTGAAGCCACGGAATGGATTCTGGAGCGGCTGTGGCGGGTACGCCCTCACCAGGACTCCTGTGGGTGGCAAGGAGGGTCACATAAGTTCCACCCCTTCTCGTGCGAACTGGGATGACATTCTTCATGTGTCCATCAGCCGTTCTCTGCTTTTTTCCTCTGAACCACCCTTGCGAGTGTGTGTGTGTTGTATTTTCTGGTGAAAAGGAGATTTTCAGTAACACAGGGATATGCTGTCTGAAGGAGGGAGCGCTGGTCTAGAGCCTGCCACATCTAGAGGGGGATGGGGGCTTGTCCGAGGCTGGCAGGAAGGTCACAACCACCCAAGAAAGGGTCTGCTCTTGGGTGCATCTGAGATGGCAGTGAAAAGCCACAGTTTCTAATTGTTGTTTAATTATTGCACACAGGCCGGGTTCTAGAACTTCCCCGAGGAGAAAGGGCCCTCCATCACGCGGTCCCTGAGCCCCCCTTGTGGCAGCAAGTTCGTGCACCCCAGCCCAGCAGCCGATGGCCTGAACCAATGCCTGGTGAATGGCCCAGGGGCCCACCCTTTGAATAGCATGTTGTGGAGCCATAGTTTTGCCAGTCGTCTTTCCTGCCCTTGGGCATGCCCCAGGACAGCTGCTTTCTGTGTATGGTGGCTCGCATTGGCTCTGGTGCTTAGAATGATCCTGCGGACAAAATAAATGGGGGAAGGTCCCTTTTCTTGTAGGTCTGACATAGAAATGACAGCGTGGGGCCGTTTCATGGTGCGACCCTGGGGTTTCCGTCTTTCTGAGTCATGAAGGTAAATGACACAAGCTCCGTGACTCTGCCGACAGCCCGGGAGTCTGCTGTGTGTCTAGGTTTGCAGGGGTCATCTATCACTTACTGATAGCACCTGAGATTCAGGCTACCCTGGGTTTTATCAGGGCGGCAAAGGTCACTCAGGTGAGTAACTGAGGATCTCTCCAGGCCAGACTCAGAACCTGTCTGAGTTGTGGACACAGAAGGTGACCTCGAGTCGCCCAACCTCCCCCTCTCCCACAATCCCCTAGTTATCACCCATCTGGTGGAACCTGGCAGGTCTGCTGGTGGCTGAGAGCAGGACTCTGCATCCCCTTCCAGCTTGGTGGCCCTTGGTGGGCCTGGAGAGCACAGCCTCCCTCCTTTACCCAGGGGTCGGATGGGGTTGCCAAGGCTCCCCTAGGGTGAGCTGGCCTGCCCACATCACCCTCAATGGGGCAACCCGCGTGGAGTGGGGGTGGGGTCCTCAGCTGTTGTCCTCAGGGACCCATGACCTGGGATATCTTCTACTAATGTCAGGTGAAGAGCCTGCATTCTGCATGTGGACAGACTTGGGTTCTGTTTTAGAGGAATTCACGCGATCTCCCAGCCTGTTTCTTCATCTGTGACTCGGGTTCCTGGTGTTTGTGGGAATTCTGCCATGACGTGTCTAATGTGCGTGGCACCCCACACAATGGGTCACACCATGGCCGTGATTGTTCTCGCCCTCCATGTCTTGAGCTGGAAGCCATTCCCCGCACCCCCTTTTAGCGTGGGGGGTGGCGGCATTTTAGCCCACCCAACTGGTGGCCCCTTCCAGCACTGGGGCAGCCATCGCTAGCTGGCTCCAAGGCAGGATGGTCAGTTGAGGTCATGATCCAAAGAGGGTGCGTGTGGCAGCACACCCCTCCCCCAGGATTCCCACTGTGGTCTCCCCTTCCTGGCAGTGGGAGACCCTCCTGGCGCGTCCACCACTGTGTCCTTGGGCCTCAAACCAGGCCTGTCCCAGCAAGGCCGGCACACCATCCGCGCCCACTGCAAGCTGTCTGGATGTCTGCCAGCTGCCCGGCCTAAGCCCCTCGCCTCGTGAAGCAGAGGCTTCTGGGTGTTTCCAAGGAGCTGGCGACGCTGGGATTGCAGGCTGTGAGCTGAGTGCAGATGACAGCCGGGTAATTAGCCCTGAAATCCGACTTTCCCGGCCAGACATGAAAGCGCTCTGGCCCAGTCATGGGGAGCGGCGGCACTCAACAGAGCGCGTGACCTGAGGGAGGCGGGAGACACCGCATGGGCGTTTCTGACCCTTTTCCCCTGGGTCATGGGCCCCTTGATGATCCCGCAGAGCATGCAGACCCTGCCCAGAGATGTCCACCCCAAACCCTCAATCGCAGGTTCCCAGCCCCCCAGGACTGCTGCCCCCATCTTGGCAGAAACACCCAGCCTTTGAGGTCTGCCATCCCCCCACTTTACAGCCAGGACACAGGGTGTCCTTGTCCTGAGCCATCTCTGTCACCTGGCGTGTGGGGACGCGGCCGTGTCTGTGGTGAGGGTGGAGGGTGCCGGGGTCTGGGACAGTGTCCGTCCACCACGTCTAAGTGCCTGGTCATCGGGGGCAAACACTAGTGGATCTGAGGTTTGTGTCCTGGACTCCCTGGGAAACACTTCCCCCATATTCCACCCTCTGCCCCGTACCTTCCCCCACTGGGGAGTCAGACTCCTTACAGGGAGCTGTCTAGGAAAACACCATATTCCTCTCAAAACCTTCCCTTTGCACATGACCTTCCAGAGCAGGGTGGCCAACAGCTGCCCTGTGCCACGGGCCCTGTCCTGCGCCCACGCTGGCCTCCAGTTCCTGTCTTCTCCTTCTTTGAGAGGTGCCAGAGACTGGGTGTACATGATTCCATCCCCCCAGTTGGTGTGACCTTCCTGGGTCTGCTGGGTCTGGATCATTGACCGGGGGAGCTCCCAGAGCACACCTGACCCCCCCCGCCCCCCAGTTTTGCCCCTTCCCTTCCCCACAGTGGGACCACTGCCCCATCCAGCACTGGTTTCTTGGCTTGTGGTTGGGGTCCTGTCTGCATCCTGGCGGGAGGCCCCCACCCCACTCTTTTCCTTAGTCCTGGAGGAGTCCTGAATTCTTGCTTGGGAGGGTGGGCTGGGCGGGTGGCCTTGACACCCTCCTGTGCCGAAGGGAGTGGTGTCCATCCAGACCAGCCTCCAGGCAGAGGCAGTTCTCTGGGCCCCACCCACCCCACCCCCGGGGGATTTGCCTGCTCAGAAGCCTCCAGCATGCTGTAGGCAACCCAATCCGCCCTCTGAGTCACCCTGACCTTGGCTGCTGGCTGACGACCCAGAGGAGAGTCACCCCAAGTGTAGCCAGTACAGAACTAAGGCCTCTGCCCAAGGCGGGTACGCGATTCAGCCCTCGGCAGGGACACAGGCTACAGGGCTGGGTCTTCTTCACCTGGTCCTTGTCAAGGACACCCTGTCAGCTGAAAGGCTCGTGAGGGCTCTGGCTGTGTGACCCAGGGCTGGGTGTTGGGCCTCTCTGGTCCTGGGTTTCAGAACCTGGAGCAGAGCAGTGCGGGCAGGTTGTACCTGCGGAGGGTGTGTGAGTTCCTGACCCATCGCAGCAGGGGTCCAGTTTCAGAAGGACTGTCCAGGCAAGAAATGACAGAGCAGGTGTGCCTGGCAAGGGGACCAGGAGCTCCGGCCCTGTTGGGTACAGGGAGGGGCCGTCCGCTCAGGG